TCCGACAATCCACAAAGATAGAAATAAAGATTCTAATCAGAGATAACAACATTTTAAGACTTTTCAGGTGAAACATGTTTTGGCTCATTAAAGTTTAAGGCTCATTTTCACACCAAGAATAAAAAAAGTAAACATGTTTATACCGACCTCTAAGCTCCGGATTCACAACACAACTGACGTGTCTGTTTACATTTCCATTCATCAACAATTAATATTTGTAAACAAACATAAATAAGGAATGCATAAAAATGTACCAAATATTAACACTCTCATGTACCAAATATTAACCATCATATATGTACAAAATATTAAGACTGTCGTGTACCAAATTCAAAGTCTTTTATGTAACACATAAATACACCCTAAAGTACCAAATATAGTGTTTTACAGTTTCCTTTAAAGTTAAAAATCTGTTCTCAGGGAAAAATTTACTATTTTAGAGTTCTCTTAAATAATATGTGAACTATGATTAGGCTATAAGTTGAAACACCCCGCCCCCTAGGACTAACCTAACCTCATCCCTCAATCCTCCCCACCGACCCCTTGGGTCCTGGCCCCCCATTACCTCTTTTTAGTCTTCCGTCTTTCGATATTTTGCTTTAAATCTTTAAAACATGTAAAATTGAGAATTTTGATTGCATGAGACAAAAAAGTTATCTCTTTTAATGGAGTCATTGGAAATTTACATCGAGAGTCCATTTTAAGTTTACTAATTTCACTTGCTAGCTCGAAGTTTATTCTTGACAGATTTTAAAATTCTAAAGAAATTAAACTTCAATGAAACCTTGAAATTAGAATGCAATAATTTTTGTTTATTCAACAATTTCAGAAAAGAAACAAAGGAACCAAAATAAGAGTTATTAATTTTGTTGTTAAAGTTAAAGATCATTAAAAATAGGATTTTTATCAATTGATTTTTCCAATGACCCGTTTGTTAAGATTAAAGATGTTGCTACATCCATGTTTCAAGGGCTCTTCAAAAATGTAGTTTTTATATCTGTAGCTTTCATCACAGAAAAGTTATTGGCTATTTTAGATTTTTTTTACTGCACGGACCGGACTTTTTACCGCCCTCTACCCAACCCTATGCAGTAAAAAAACATATTTTACGGCGATAGTGTTAAAAATGAGAGTGCTAGGGCAAAAAGTCTAGCCTGTTCGGGGCTCAACTACTTCTCTCTACTTCTTAATTCTGGTGTCAGGAAACTAAAACTATTTTGTCCAATTCAAATTCTAGGAATTAATTTCTTGCTAATTTACATTTCTCTTTACACTCTAGGCTGCTTTTCATGGAAATGAATAAATTCCTTTTATTGCACTGTATGTAATTCGAAATTAATGGGATTTGTTCATAGTTTTTTGATAAGGCAAGGATTATGTTTCTCTTGAAATAATATTGATTTTAAATGTATAATTTCTTCCTCATCATTTAAACATTTTTTAATAATTTCTTCCTCATCATTTAAACATTTTTTTCTGCACACTCGTTTTTTGTTTGATTGAAAACCCGTTAAAGCCTGCTTAAGATTGTTTTCATTGTTTTATGGGACACCCTATAGCAGTGGGAGTGTGCAGGTTTTCCTCTCAAATTTAATGGGACACCCTGTAGAACGCGTGATGGGGTTTGTGTACTGAAACTATTACACATTTATGTCTATTTTTTAATGACACACACATAAGTTTGAAGGTTTTTGTTAACATTTATGTGCCCCCTTGTAGAACTGTGCAGGTTTTTGTGTATACTGTTTGATAGGACACCCTGTAAAACCTTTCAGTTTTTGTGCATTGTTCTTTGGGACACCCTGTATAACCCTGCAGGAAATCTCCTAATGAGGCCTTGGCCTGGTTTTAGAATGTAGTTTCCTGCACTCAACTAAATTTTCTATATTAAAATTTATTTTTCAGTTTTGAAATCTTTTCTAGTAAAATGCAAGGTACTAATGCAAGGAAAGTTTTTTAGAGGTGTACACATTTTTTGTACTGCAGTGTACTGCAGTCTTTGGGGGGAAAAGTAAACACAAGACGGATGTCACAGTCTGACGACAGGGGAATCTATGAAATATTCTGGTCATAGGAAACTATTATGTGAATTTTTAAAATTATCAAAATTAAATGCTTTTAACCTCCTCGGATACTAAACGAAATGTGTCTATTCTTGTTTTCAAAGTCCGCCTAGAGAGATCTGGTTTCAATATGTATGCAGAGTATACGCAAACGCAATTAACTTTCCTTGCATTAATACCTTGGTAAAAATGTATAAGAAAACTTGTGCAGCTAGATCCTTGTATTGCATCTTGTGATTGGTTTTGCTGTTGCTCATACATATTTCATATAGGCAGAATATTGTTTTTTTTTCTTTTTAAAAATTTTAAAAAGAAAAATTTACATTTTGAAATCATGATGGTTTATCAAAGGAATTGAGTCTTTGCAATCTGATAGTTTAGTGTAAACTTTTGATATTTCAAACTTATTATTTGTAACAGAATTCGTAGTTTGAAATATCTTAGGTATACAACATTATACATATACAAAAATATTAAATAATGTATTTGTTTCTTAGTAAACAGAAAATAAAACAGAGCTGGGAACTTTTGATTGGTGGATATCGGGACTAATGCTTGATCCACTCTTTTTCTTAATCTCAAGATTAAATAATGATTGTTCTCCTTTTATTATTAATCTCAAGATTTATTAACCAATATGGATTAAGGATATCACAATCTTAAGTTTTCAGCTCTGGTCATCTTAATCGTAGAAAGATTTTGAGCCAGCCAACATTGATATTTTGTCAATTGTTTGAAATGTAAAACATGTTTAATTTATTTTATGGAAGCCATTGCAGAAATTTTAGTATTGAATGAATGTGCGCTGAAAGACCAACATTTCCATTTGAGAGAATAACTTGAGAATACAAAATATACTTAGACCAACATAATAGATTAAATAAATATCCATTATCAGAATACATAATGGAAAGATGGAATATTAAAGAAAATGGGGACACTTTGTTAAAAAATAAATTCATTAGTGCTGGCAAATAAGGCATTGTAAGGGGGGGGGCTAAACGGAAAACTTTGAAAGAGAATAAAGATATGGCATGAGGAAAAGAATATTATATGGAAGAACGAGAAAAAGAGAAAAATGTGAAAGAGACGGAAATATTTGGGGGAAACAAATGAAATCCTGAAAAAAAAGAGGGAAATAGAGGGATTTAGAGGGAAATAGAGAGAAATAGAGGGAAATAGAGGGAAATAGAGGGAAATAGAGGGAAATAGAGGGAAATAGAGGGATATAGAATAGAGGGAAATAGAGGGATATAGAGGGAAATAGAGGGAAATAGAGGGAAATAGAGGGAAATAGAGGGAATTAGAGGGAAATAGAGGAATATAGAGGGAAATGTGGAAAAGAGAATATCGATTAGAAACTATTTGAGGCTAAGGGACATTTAAAATTTTAAGGTAATGGGTTGAAAGTAAAAAGCAAGGTATAGAAGTGAAGAAAGTTTTCTGGGTATCAGTTTAAAATTATGAGAAATGGAAAAGTGTGATGTTTGTTGGAAAAATAAAAAGTTTTTGAATAAGAAAGTGGTTGTTGGAAAAAGATAATGTTTGTTGAAAAAAGAAAATGTTTGTTGGAAAAAGAAAATGTTTGTTGGAAAAAGAAAATGTTTGTTGGAAAAAGAAAATGTTTGTTACAGAAAGTAAATGTTAGTTGAAAAAGAAAATGTTAGTTGGAAAAAGAAAAAGATTGGTAGAAAAAGTAAATAATTGTAGGAAAAAGAAAATGTGCGTTAAAAAAAGAAAATATAATTGTTGAAAAAATAAAACGTTTGTTTTGAAAAGATAAAGTTTTTTTGAAAACTGAAAACAGAATATATGACAAGTTGATCACTAGAGTGCATGATAAAGGATTAGCATAATAACTCTCTAGACTCTATCCTTTCATGAATAAAATTATAAAATCCATCTATTTTACAAATATAATGATTAAATATAAACATTTAGTTATTTTAGATTCAAAATATACATTATTTGATAAATATCTTTGGCTAATTTTGTACAATTTTTTAAACGCAAGAATGTTTCTTATTTCTACATCCAATATCTTCCAATTATGGCTTGTTGATCAAAAGTTTAAAAGGGAATTGCAAATTTCAATGCATGCAAGCCTTTTATGATAAAAATGAATTATAATGTGTATATATATTGTGTTTAAGTTTAAAACAGTTTTTGTATTTTTATATGCAATATGTAAACACAAGAACAACAAACACAAATACATTTACAGATTTTTTTTCTCACTATTTATAAAAACTAATTTTTGGAATAACACACTGATATAGATAAACATCATTTTATGAAATGATCCAAGTTTTAACTATGGTTTGATCTGATTTTTCAAATAAATGAGAAAATTTCATTCAATAAATGGATTTTTTTGCTGAAATATACCGCTCAATAACAACCAACAATACATTTCTGTAAGCAAAAAAAATCCGATAGTGCATTATTCAATGCTTTAAAAACAAAGCTTTAAATCTATATTTTATAATTTTTCGTAATAATTCTTAACACATTTATTTTAGTTTTGCAAAGCTAGCTGCTTATTTTTGTACAAGACATTTATAACAAGATATGTACAGATACATGTACACGACATGTACAAGTTCATGTACGAACGATACATATATGAACTAAAAGTTTATAAGAATGAATTTCACTGCACTGTACTTTGAGATCGCTATTTCTTGTATTTACTAATTTAAAATTCAACAAAGAACTTCACATCAAAGACAAGTTGTTAAACATAAAGTGCATTTAAGGTAGAAAAGTGCAGATAACAGACTAAAGTTCCTTCAATAACACTATCATAAACAATGAAATTTTCTTATCATCATTCCAAAATTTGTATTCAAAACCGTCTGAGATTACAAGTGGTTTTGCAATGTAATAAAAATAACCGTTTTTATATTTTTTTCTTTCTATTTTTTACTTCAAACATTTTTTTTTTTTGATAGACCTGGTGTAGGTTTTGTTATAGTTTATTGTTTACATGATGGTTGGCGGAGCAAGGTTTCCATTAAACACAGTTGTCATAATCTGTGGTTTATCCGACCCTACAGCAGAACTAGAACTCCCGTTGAATTTAGAAGCTCTGAAATATTTATCTATAAACTGTTTTATAGAAGTTTAATAAACTTCAAGTTTTGATTAATTTCAAATCAACTTTATTCACGAACTTCACATTTAAACCAATAGAAGTTTAACAAACTTCAAGTTTTATTTAATTTAAATTCAACTCTATTCACAAACTTCACATTTAAACCAATAGAAGTTTAACAAACTTCAAGTTTTATTTTATTTTAAATCAACTCTATTCACAAACTTCATATTTAAACCAATAGAAGTTTAGCAAACTTCAAGTTTTATTTTATTTTAAATCAACTCTATTCACAAGCTTCACAATTAAATCAATAAAAAATAAAACTTCAAGTTTTATTTAATTTCAAAACAACTCTATTCACAAACTTCACATTTCAACCAATAGAAGTTTAACAAACTTCAAGTTTTATTTAAATTTCAAATCAACAGAATTTTGTCTATGCTACAAAGAAAGCCATAGGCATTGCTATCTTTGCATAAAGGGTAACATAAAATTACGCGTACAGTCCCTTTAAAACTTTTGTTTGATACTTTCATGATGAAAGAAATTGGTTCTTTTACATTATTCACAAAATATTCAAAAAATAATAATCTTTAGTATATGAACGTTAGAGATTTCTATTAGGTGGGAGTAACTCCTGTACATAAGATTACCTAGAGGTGAGAGCAACTCGTGTACATAAAATTACCTAGAGGTGAGAGTAACTCCTGTTTATAAGATTACCTGGAAGTGAGAGTGACTCCTGTACATAAGATTACCTAGAGGTGAGAGTAACTCCTGTACATAAGATTACCTAGAGGTGAGAGTAACTCCTGTACATAGATTACCTAGAGGTGAGAGTAACTCCTGTACATAATATTACCTAGAGGTAAGAGTAACTCCTGTACATAAGATTACCTAGAGGTGAGATTAACTCCTGTACATAATATTACCTAGGGGTGAGAGCAACTCCTGTACATAAGATTACCTAGAGGTGAGAGTAACTCCTGTACATAAGATTACCTAGAGGTGAGAGTAACTCCTGTACATAATATTACCTAGAGGTGAGAGTAACTCCTGTTTATAAGATTACCTAGAGGTGAAGTGACTCCTGTACATACGATTACCTGGAGGTGAGAGTGACTCCTGTACATAAGATTACCTAGAGGTGAGGGTGACTCCTGTGGACATATCTCCCCCTCCTCTCTCCTCATCTCCTGACTCCTGTCCAGGGGGTACAGCTGTAAACCTGCAGATTTTAACTTTAAGTTTTATTGTTTCAAAAATCAAATTCTTGGTTTTAAAAAATTGATAATAATGTTAAATTGATTAACAATTAATTATAAATTGATAAAATATAAAATATAGAGCAGAGTGTAAATAATAATTTAAAAATTACACTTTCCGAAATAAGTGTAACTTTTGGGTTAAAAAAGGAAATGTATAAGAAAGTTTTGGCGTTTTATTAACGGTATTAAAGCGAACATATTGATAACGATTAGAAAATAAGGCTGCGCGCAACGATTTTACATTCCGCTAAAAATCATAGAATTCCTATTTGGAAAGTGTACTTAATTTGATTGCGCTTCATACATGCCAAAATGCAAATATGTATAAGTGCATCACACAGATCTGTAATGAACGGAAATCCGTTTCTGCCAAAATTATATTACTAATGCATATGAAAATAGAAAACACTTAGATATAGTATAGTATCAATGGGTATATTGGTGTACGCTTGACACTATACAATGTACAGTGTACAGGGTTATCCACAAAGGATGATAATATAACGACGACTTGTTCTGAAGGTTAAATATAATCTATGAATTAGAAAAACTATTTTTCATAGAATAATTGTAGCAAATATCGTAGCAAACCCTATATTTGTAAACCTGAACATACCTAGATATAATTCGTTGTACATTGTATGCAAATGCACTTGTAAATAGCTACGCAAAACTTGTATTGCGATTAACTACGTCAAACCTGTATTGTGATTAGCTTAACTACACGTGTATATATAACAATACAAAACTTGTAAATATGTTCATTAACTTAACCTGTAACTATAGAAATCTAAATAAACACCAGTTTGAAAATATTCCGCTTTGATTACGGTGTAAGAGTAATAATCCTTGGTTTGGGAACAAGACTCGTCATGAATCAATTTCTTGAAAGATAGATATAGATTGGGAATTACGTTGAGAATACAGACTGAGTCATTTCCCGATGAATTGATATTGACTATGGTATTGGTGTGAACCTTGAGTTCCTGATTGAGTTGTATCTTATAGGACAGATACCTGAGAATACAGACTGAGCTGTATCCCGATTAATATTGGCTATGGTATATATGTGAACGTTGAGTTCCTGATTGAGTTGTATCTTGTGAGACAGATACTTGAGAAAGCAGACTGAAACGTATCTGGATTGATATTGGCTATTGTATTTGTGTGAACCTTAAGTTCCTGATTCAGTTGTATCTCGTGAGACAGATACATGAGAATACAGACTGAGCTGTATCCGGATTGATATTGGCTATGGTATTCGTGTGGACTTTGAGTTCCTAGATTGAGTTGTACCTGGTTTGATACGTGTTTAAAAGCGTTTATAGGAGTAAGGCATTTACTACATAATAACTGCACAATATAGCTGCAGTGAACCGTAAAGGAAATTAATTTTTGCTACAAACTTTGATTATTAAATCCTTATATCTCTGCAACCCAATGTTGAAGACCTTTGATATTACAAACTACAAATTCTGTCGAAAAGATTTAGAGATTAGAAAAGAAATTGAGTTTTCGTCAAAAGCTCAAATTTTCTAATCCCTATATCTTTGCAACCTGGTGGTATACATCTTTGATATTTCAAAATTAGATTATTTGATCTTACAGAATTCATTGTTTGAAATACCTAATGTTTTCGATTTTAGATTGCAAAGATATTGGGTCAGAAAATCTGAGTTTGTGGCGAAAATTCAATTCCTTTGAGTTAGTTACATTTCAATTTCTTCACTACATATTTCTTCAAAATATCCGTCTTAAAAGTCTCAAATAGATATCTAATACGGCATGGTCAAGAAAATGGTAAGAAGAAAGAAGATGGGGGGGTAACCAATTTGAGGCTAAGAGGGGGGGGAAGCCGGATGGGTTGGGATAAGTACTTGAGCCACTTTAGAAAACACTTGGGATAGTAGTGAAGGCTGATTACTTCCCTACTTGAATACAAGAAAATATGTATGCGTAACACAAAAAAAAAAGTAAAGTCATAACCGGCAGGAGGGGTAGTTCAGCTGATTCCACGTCAAATTAACGTAAATTTCATGTCAGATTGAAATCTTATTATTTTCAATCATAACACCTCATATTAAAGAGCTGGTGAGAAGAACAAAAAGATAAATTCTTTTTTTATATTTGTGCGTTAAATCCAACTGGAGAGTTATACAAATTCACAACTTGTCGTAGCAGTAGCTACTGAACTAAAGTACTAAAGTATATTTGACCATAACTCATATCGTAAACTCGGGACTAAATTAACATATTTTAATATTATTTGATTAATCATATAGTTTTTTTTATAATAAAAAGTTTTCATTAGTATCTAAAAATAACTCATAAACTTGGAATAATGGTTGTCGATATCACATAAATAGGTACAACTTAAATAAAACTCAAAACACGTGAGAATTTAGAGATTTTGGTAATGATATCCTTAAGAACGCTTTGGTAATTTCCTACTATACGATTTTTGGACCCCCTCCCCCCTTCGGTGTACAGTTTGCAGTGTGGAGTTATCTAATAAAATATATTAGGTTTAATTTGATATGAGTAATATGTTTTTACGTTGTTTAAATTCCTAATTGAGCGTAAAAACGTTAATTGAGTTTTCGCCATAACAGATTGGCAGAGAGGATTATTATTTTGTTGCTAAAAATAGTTTACTTAAAAGAAATTATCGATGAAATCAAAAGAATTGATTTTTTAATCAGCACTTTCTTTAATTCCTTATTTTCTATAAAAATATTCGCGGATTTTCTCAAATTTATTGTCATTTTAGAATTAATCCTGATATTTTATTCTGTACTGATAATACTCATCAGCTTATCTACCCTTCCTTAGGGGGGGGGGGGGGATCACTCCCTTGAATATTAGGGTTAAAATTGATAACTTAATTCTTCCTAACCCGAAACAGCTCCCAAACTATTAAAGTTATCAGTCTAATTTCTTTTTCAATGAATTGGTCTTGAAAAATTGGGCAATGAACATGCATTTAAACCCTATATCTATTCTCAAAGGCCTTTTTCATGGGGGGGGGGCGTCATGGGACTCCCCCCCCCCCGGTTATTTATAGATTTAGAAACCCCCAACCTTAACAGGGCTAATGAATATGTTACCTTGCAGATATGTAACATCAAATTCAAACACTTTGTCATAATAATTAAAACAAAATAAAATCTCAAACTAGAATCAAAATAGCACTTCAAAATGTGACAAAGACAATTTGAGTATATTTTTTAATTAAGGTAATAAATGTATTCCAAACATATATATTTAATATTGCATCACAATTTTTAACTTATTTCATTTATTTTATTTTATTAATATCTTATATTCGTTTTTTCCTATTTTATAATAAAAGCTTTAAACTTCATCAATAAAGTATAATGCTGTATATAAAGAACCGATAAAACAATTTATCTTCTTTGATAAAACTCATCATTTTGCTAATAAAATAATAAATAAAAATCTTCAAGCTCAAGAAAAAAATAACTGGGGGTGGGGTTCGAATTGATTAAAAGTTAGAGGGGAGGGGGAGGGAGAATTAATAACAAACCCCACTTCTCTAAACACTAACTTATTTTCGGATTTAATGATTCTACAATACTAAATCAGAGTATAATATACAACAATAGAGTGGATCCAATACAAAAGAGTGGGATAAGAAAACCTCAACTATTACATCTAGCACAACAAAAGATACTAAATACTATTAAATATTTATTGAAAATGATAAAATGAAACATACTCAATTAAAAAAATAGTGTGAGCCCTCGAGATGTTATTAGGAAGGACTGCTTCATGTTCTCAACCCCTTTTTATGAATACCCATTCAGAAAATTCTTCAGGTTTTACACTCAGTTCCTGCTTCAGCATGCACTTATTAAACTTGTTCATACAATAGTTAACTATTATAAGTGTACATGGTCAATTTGGGCAGTTGACCCAGTACTTGGAGCAGAAGGGGCAGGTCAAAGGATGAGGACTAGATATGGAGAAATTAATGGCATTATATCAAAAGGGGAAGGGGGACAGATAATAGGCCTTTTTCATTACAGACTGAGCTTGAGGTACATCTATGATTGCTCACTGCAGACTGTTTCTAATGAAGAGTAATCAAGAAAGCAAAAACACAGAATACCAATCAACACGGAACTTCTTTAACAATTGTTAGTATTAAACCCAGATCCAAACCGCCTCATATATATTCACCCAGCTGAAAGGGCGTGTTTGCGTAATTTAAACTGACCTCTCATTTAACGAAAGAGTAGCATGTCTGATACACAAAGGTACCCTTTAAAGTAAGAAGGAAGACATTTTCGTTTTCTTTTTGAAAATTATAAAATTTTGACAACATTTTTATCTTTGTCCCTGCAGTATAAATCCACATTTGGTTTAACACTTTTACAGAAAACCACAATGGAAAATAATCAAATTTAATCAAATAAGAATATCTTATTTGTCATTGATCAGAAAGTTATTCAATAGGGTTCATCAGTAAATCTGATATGCTACCCTTTTATAAATGTAGATTGAAGGGTTATTTCAAAATAAGTCTACAATCCCTCTAACCCTGCAAATAGATTCAGGAAATCCCAGGTCAAAAACTCAGACATAATTGGTTGGGTGTAAGGCCAGTTGGACTTGAGCAAGGTCGTAAAGTCAGGCATGTACTGAGGTGGGAACTCAAACAGAAGCCAAGTATTTTTGCGTTCAACCAATGAGAGAACAGAGAAGTTGTGTATATCTAAAATCAAGAGAACAAGCAGAGCCTGTGTAAGATTCAAAAGTGTGCATTGTTAAAATGAAAATCAAGAGATATGCAACAAAAAATTTGGTTCTGGTAAATGCATAAAATAGTCTACGTAAAGCTCATTTATATACATTTATTTATAGGGAGCTAGCTATAGCTGGACAAAAGGCTAGACCAAATTAGCTGACATTTTTTGAGGGAATCCATGTGTATCCCGGGGGTAACATAGGTTAAACATTTATTTTTAATTCCACGGGTGACGCCGGGCACTTTAGCTAGTATGACTATATACCTGAGTGAATATATACCTATAAAAAATCATGATATTTACTTTAGAAACTTTAGAAAACTTATTTCTAAAGAATTATGAAAAGTATCTTATTGGTGGGCTGTGATTGTGAAGTAGTTTTTGTAAATAGAATCTTCTTCAATATTGGGACATAATATAGAGAAATTGAATGAAGAAACTGGATAAGAGAAAAATATTGGCATAAGGTGTAAGTTTAGACAGAGTGTTTCAAAATTCTGCCGACTGTAGCAAAAACTAGTCTTCACAAACCTACTACAGGGTGACCCCAAAAGATCTTGATTATCCCTTGGACACTTTCATGAGGCATGTTTTTTAGTACTTTTACAGGTTTTAGGGGCTTAAAATTCATTGCTACACTTTTAAGGGGCCACAGTGTGACCCCAAATAAAAGTTGTTCATCCCTTGGACCTTAAAAACTATTTTATGGGGCATATTTATTAGTACTTTGACAAGTTTTTAAAGGCTTAAATTTCCAAGTCACACTTTTGGAGGGTCACTCACTCTGTGCCTTTATTGTTTTGAAACATCAGGTAGAGATTTGATATCTCTACAAGAAATGATGGATTCTTAAGTTTGCGAAGTATGGTCTATATTCTATAGATATGTGGACCAGTAAAGGAAGAAATATATTGGCAGTAGCTGTAGTAGAATCCAGGTTTTCCTATAGAAGATATAGGCTTTCAACCTTCACAGATGTTTTCATTCATTAGATAGAATATTACATTATTTATATATAATATTAAAGTCATTATACAGAATATTAGAATAGATATTTTAATATTCAATTCATGATACAGAATACTAGAATAGATATTTTAATATTCAATTCATGATACAGAATATTAGAATAGATATTTTTAATATTCAATTCATTATACAGAATATTAGAATAGATATTTTAATATTCAATTCATGATACAGAATACTAGAATAGATATTTTAATATTCAATTCATGATACAGAATATTAGAATAGATATTTTTAATATTCAATTCATTATACAGAATATTAGAATAGTTATTTTCAAAATTCAGGTCATTATGCAGAATATTAGAATAGATATTTTTCATATTCAGTTCATTATTCAGAATATTAGAATAGTATTATTAATATTCAGTTCATTATTCAGAATATTATAATAGATATTATTAATATTCAGTTCATTATTCAGAATATTAGATTTGATAAAATTTTGTTGATAATGTATAATTTAAGATTATTAAAATGAAATTTCTGTTTTTACTAAAAATGTGTTTCCCCTCTTTCCTTAAACTACCAGTTAAATCTTTTAAAAGCAGAGTCCTTTGCAATAATAAGAACGATATAAAAATACATGTTACAAAATGTCCTAAAAAATTAAGTTAATGTCAACAAATTTTGCTTACATACAATTTTGGCTCTAATCATTTATGTCATGTATTTATGGTGTGTAGATCAGAACTTTTTTAATTGGACTGTCAAAAATTGACTTGAACCAGTTTTATTTTTAATTGTCTTAAAATCTATTTATGCTGGATCCTGTATATTTTTATGTAAATCAAAGTGTACGTAAGGATGTATATTTGTGTAAATTATACATAGCTTGTACAATGATGTATTCCATCTAGACCCTGATAATCAAATTATTCCTCAAGTCTAGTCGAGGATATTTTCTTTTTTCTATTTAGTGTCTTATATATTTCTATTCAGCAATACTCACACCACAGTCATAAACATTTATATTTAATAAGGAACCATCAATGGATGGCACTTGTCTATATGTCTACTTGTCTCTATGTCTACTTATCTATATATCGGGACCTTTGACCAATAAAATTAAATTTCTAGGTAACACAAACATACAGTACGCGTTTTGTTTATGCTATGATAAGTTGTACTTAGTAAAGATATAGTAGACAAACAGAAATATTAACAAACCTTTGGAAATTATTCTATATTTGTTAAATAAGTGATATCTATTTAATCAAACGGTTTTTATGAGATATTTAAATAAAATTAGATTTTTTAATTGGTACCACAATATGCAATTAAGATCTTGGGGTTGATGGTTTAAAGAATTTTTAAAATTACTGTTTTTTATGCATGAATTCTAGTAAACAAGGCAAAAAAAATTGCAACATTTTTTTGGGAGGACTTTTTCATACAGGTTGACAATCCTCAAGTCATAAGCTGTTTTAATAAGGTTGTCTTTAATTTGTAATTTGTAAACAAAATTAGTATTACTATGTGTTGTAGTACTATTACGTGATATAGTTACATTTAAACTTTGTCTAGTCAAATTCCTACCTCCGTTTTATCTGCATTGATTAATTTGTTTTATTAAGTACACCTTGCAGTATACATTGTTGATACTAAAGTACGCATTTGGTGTTATCACGCATAAACAAAGTGATAAATTAGCAACAATCCAGAGGATAAAATGCCATGCGTACGACAGAGATGGTGCTGATTGCACTTTTTCTCAAGACCTCAAAATTTCTACCTGCCAGCGTATCTATATATATATTATCTTTGAACTGTACCCATTATACAAAATATGGACTTGTAAGCCCTAAGGTCCCTAAAGTTCCAAGTTTATGATCCTAACTAACTAGCTCTATGTATTTCTAGATCATTGATAAAATTAAATAAATTCCAAGTTTATGATCCTAACTAACTAACTCTATGTATTTCTAGATCATTGATAAAAGTAAATAAATTCCAAGTTTATGATCCTAACTAACTAACTCTATGTATTTCTAGATCATTGATAAAAGTAAATAAATTCCAAGTTTATGATCCTAACTTAGAGCTAAGAATGTACTCTATGTATCCTTAGATCATTGATAAAATAAATAAATAAACCTACTCACTCCTTCGTGAATCTAAGTAGGTTAAGTATTCTACTCCTGTGGCTGTATATATATATATATATATATAGATATACCATCATCATCATCTTTATTGTTATACAATAGCAATAATATATTCTATCATCTTTATATCGGAAGGAGAGCAAGGAAGAGGGCGGATGGAATATTGGGAAGGAAGGGGGGAAACGGGAAGGGGGATAAAAGATATATCCTGACCTTTTTTGAGGGGGTGGGGGGATCGATGTTATAAAAATCTTAAATTCATTCGATGTTGGTTATCCAAATATTTATTCACAACCTACCATCTTTCTGTTGTTAGAAAAAATTTTATTTGATTTTAGGCCCGGCCAAGTTATACGTTCAACAAAAGAATTGAGCTTTGCCACACACTTTGATTTTCTAATCCCTATATCTTGGCCACCCAAGTCGTAGACCTTAGATATTTTGAACTATGAATTCTGTAAGATCAGATAATCTAGGTTTAAAATACCAAAGGTTCATACCATAAGGTTGAAAAGATATATGGATTAGAAAATTTGAGTGTGTGTGGCAAAAATTCAATTCCTTTATCCGCTGACATGTTCTCCTCAATATCTCTTCAAAACATACAAGATTTCAATATATAACGTGCAATTTGATTTATGTTGACGTGATTATTCTCTAAGATAATTACCTGGGTCCTCTCCTACTCCGTCTAGTAGTTGCAGAGCATTCAGGGTTCAACTGATGGTTCGTCTCCCTTGCTGTAGCACACCTAGAGATAATGCTCTTGCTGAAAATTAACAAAAAATTAACAAAAAAGGAAAAAAATGCATGTTACAGTCAAACATTAAGCTTTAAAAAATATTAGATAAGGTATATCAAATAAAAATGTTTTTCTCGCCTGTTCTATAGCCAAAGAACTTTCATTGACCCTATTATAACCCGATCTACGTCGAAACCATTTGAACATTAAAGCATTTTTAAGAAGAAGAAAATACCTTTTTCATTTTTTCTATATAAGAAGATTCGTATATAACGCTGTTTGTAAAGTGCCTTACCTTTCCACTGTTTTCATATATTTTTTACGTTTTTTATGTTAATATTTTTGCTTAAGCGTTTTTATGCTTTTTATAGGTTTGACATTCTGTGTTCTAAATCTGTCACAAAATAAACCATGACAAATAAAGAGTATCCTGTATTAAAAACAAAATCATTAATAATATTTTCCATTAGAATGCTATTATGTTTGTGTACCTGCAGGCTTTGACGAAGCTCTTCTTGAAGTTGTCGGATAAGAACGCGTAGAGGACAGGGTTCATTGCCGAGTTAGAGTAGGACAAGCAGTTAGAGAGTAGAGTGATCTTTAAATAAGAAATTAAAAGCAAAAGAAAAAAATAAAATTTTCAAATTGGAAACTGATTTAAAGAAATTGCAGACATTATTCAAAGTTTTCATCACCGATTCACAACTTTCTCCGATCAAGGATTAATCCTTATTCATTCTGTATAAACTATTTAGTTTATATTTTTGTTTCCCTATAAAAGTATGAAGCGGATTTAAGCTGCAGAAACATTGAAGGTAAATGTGATAATTTAACCCTTTTCAAGTAGAAAGACTCTTACAAGGATTAAGGGGTACCGTTTTAAATCCAATACACCACTCTTTAACAAAATGTTAAGCCAAGTAAACCTTTTTGAATCTTTTAAAATTGATATTTGAATTTTCATTAGTTTAATAGATTGACTATTATAAAGTAAAGAGCTTACCACCACAATAGTTTCACTTTGATAACCTGGAGGCTGGGAGACAAGAGCCAACTATAGATATAAAAATATTATTAATATTATCATCATTATTATCATCATTATTATTATCATTAATATTATTATTATTATCTCTTATCTGTATAATCATTTCATAATTTTTATCTATTTTTTGATTAAACAACTGGATTTTGTAAATTTTTGTCAGCTCATTTATTTAAGTTCTTTATAGTGAATTTTATTCAGATTATTTACAACCTGTAATTTTTTGTCATTGTCATGATTAAAGTTATGAAACGTAATTATGATAGCAAAATTTACGAGGTTTTATGCCCATAAATCCTAGAACGAGATTTCGGAGTAATGATAATATAAAATAGCATGACGTTAGGAAGAAATAAACTAGCTTTTTTTCATTTTTTTTGTACGCAAAATTTATCAACCACGGGTTTAATACATTAGGGACGAAAATTAGGTTTATGTTAATGAGAATTAACTTAAATCATCAATAAAGTTTTTTTTATAAAAACACATTCATAAAAAATCTTCGAAGATGTGAATTGTGTCTTGTTAATAAATTGCAAAAAAGCTTGTTGATAAAGCCAAAAAATATTACATTACAAAAAGATGCGCAAAGCGCCCTGGAAGAACGCCGATTTTAATAAACTTTATGGAACCTAAATTGCTTGGCTTTAAAATATATACAGTATATTAAAAGAGAAGAAAATAAAGGAGTTCATTTATTTCTTCAGATTTTCCAATTGAAAAGCCTTCAATGGAAAAACAATTTTATCAGCTGCTGAATAGAATTCACAGATTGAAAGAATCCCAAAACTCCATTTCAAGCCAATTCCAGGCCACAGAGGAATCATAACCAGGATGGAGGCAGTAGTAATAAAAATAATAAAACTGGCGTCTAACAAATATCGATATTTTACAGTTGTATAACAATAATAATACAAATAAATAATAATAATAATAATAATAATAATAATAACAATAATATTATTCCTGTGTTATCCAGTGAGGAAGCCAGCAAAGAATATAAACTGCGACCACCGTCAGAACGAGCTTGGTAACTTTTCTAAAATTAACTTTTTCAGTAGACGAAATATTGTGCGTAAAAAGAATTATTATTTATATTTTCAAGCAAATCAAATTAAATATATTTGGACGTCATACCCGGATTTAAGTCCCTTTGACAGGCCTCGTATTATTTAAAAAGTACACTAATCGTTAATAATTCTTTATATATTTATTGAATTGATTGAAGAAATTGAGTGCTTAAATCAATGATAATTTGTCAAGTATAAATTTCTTTAAATCGATTGATTGATTTAACTATGTTTTCCAATCATTTAGGATTCCTTGGGTTATCTGAGGAAGAAAGAAAATATGAATAAAGGAATAAAAGGAGAAAGGAAACGAGAAAAAAAATAATAAATGAATGTAAGAATAAAAGGATAAAGGACAAAAAATGAACAGAAGAAGAAAAGGATAAAAACGTGAAAGAATGAAAGGACAAAAGATTAAATGAAAGAATAAAGAATGAAAGAATGAAACGATAAAAGAATAAAAGAAAGGATAAAAGGATGAAAGTAAGACTGAAAGCATAGGTGGATGAAAGAAAGGATGAAGGGATGAAAGAAGGAATAAAAGGATAAAAGAAATGATGAAAGGATGAAAGAATGAAAGAAAGGATTAAAGGATAAAAGGATGAAAGGATATAAGAATGAAAGGACGAAAAATGTAAGGTTGAAAGATTGAAAGAAAGGAAATAGATGAAAGAATGAAAGAAAGGATGAAAGGATGAAACAATGAAAGAAAAGATAAAAGGATGAAAGGATGAAAGAAATAATGAAAGGTTGAAAAAATGAGAGAAAGAAAAATTGTAAGAATGAGAGAATAAAAGTAAGAAAAGAGGCTGAAAGGATGAAAGAAAGGTTAAACGGATGAATTGAAAGAAAGGATAAAAAGATGAAAGAATGAAATAAAGACAGAAAGGATGAAAAGATGAATGGATGAATGAACAAATGAAGAATGTCTCCTCTATTCCCCCTGGTCCCTGAGTGTTTAACAGGACCCCAACTGGACAAGGGGGGGGGAAGGATTCATTCCCAGGATAGATAAGGGTGGGGGGGGAAATCAGTTTCAATATTTTGACAGGAACAGGGAGAAACCTTGACGTTTTCAAATACAAGTAAACAAACAAAAGCAGGCTCTATAATATAGAGCACTGAACACAAGCAGACCAGGTTAGTACAGGCTAGTAAAAATACATAAACAGCCAGAAAAAGTGCTCTAAAATTACGGTTGTTGTAAATTTCAGGGACCCTTCGGCATGTCTGATTAGCAACTACTCTCTTAAACTTTTATTTGATTAACAATGTGAATATCATTTGTTTCTGTGGCAGAAATCCGCAAGTAACTTTGGTATAGAAACCACAATGGAAAAAATCAATTTTCAAAGAGAAAAACTTGGATATCTCATTCATTGTTATTGATCAGACAATTATCTGTTTAGGATGACGTCATGAATCCGAATATTTATTTACAATATGAATGTTTTTGAGGATGATTTAAATTTGTTTACGTTTTTGCGAAGAACCTGCTCAAAATATTAAGTATACAACCTAGGTCAACAATAAATATATGAAGATATTTACCATTTACATATCATAAAGCAGGATATAGGTTTAGGGTTGATGCAAGGGTGTAAACATATAAGGGCATGTGAAATAATATATCATGTGAATTTTTATTTCTTTTGATATTTTTTTTTGAACAAAAGGCACCCAAATTAATGTTTAAACTTGAATGGCAAATTTTGATAATTCCATGTTTAAATTATCACATACCCCTTCCGGGCTCACAGATTCTTTAAATCGCAAAAAAAATCAAATTTCATTTAAACCCTCGTGGATTTTTATTCATCATAGAAATTTGAAAAAAATTAAATCTTTTCAGAGATAAATCAATGTTCAGAGACATAATCATGAAAGTTTTTGTCTTAACTTGGGTTTGAAGTATCTGTATACATATATTTATACAAACATACTATCCTACAATTGAGACATTGTAGAGTTTAAAAATGCTGTTTTTTGCAAAAGAAACCCCGCAGAAAAGTTTTGCGAGTATAAAGTTTGGCAATCTTACCGAGACACCAAGTATAGGTTTAAAGTTTCAAGTGTTATGGAAAATATTGAATTTTTCAAGTTCCAACATTCTCCGCCTTTGCAATATTAAATAATTATAGAATACAAAACTATACTTTGATCTTTGATGAAAAGTTATAAGAAACTCGCCAAAAGAGAAAATTTTAGAATTGCATTTCACCATTTGTAGGATAAAAAGTATTAATGAAAGAAAAATATGAGGTTAAATGTCTAAAGAAAAAGGTGCAAAAAAATGATTGACCTAGATTTGCTGCAACAATTAAGTCTCAGAATACTCAGAAACTGACTAATTGCGCAATCTAATTTGCAACTAGGGTTTCCTTTCGCAAAATTTTGCGCAATTTTTGCGAAGAAAACACAAATTTTTGCTTTCATTGAGTTATCTTTTGCGCGAATAAATAACACTTTGCGAATCATTCGCAAGCTTCATTTCACCCAAAATTGCGCGATGTCACTTATGCTTTATTCTGTCTTGCGCAATTTTGCGGAACAAATTATCATTAAAAGGTTGACTAAAGGTGTAAACTGTATGAAATTGCAATTTTCGAATTATATAATTGCAATGCTTTAAAGGGAGCGTGTACTTGTCTAAAACTCTACCGTGCAAACTGATGCATGATGACACACTGTAAATCAAGATGTGCACATTCTCACACGAGCAGTATTTTGCCAACTACTTCTTTAAAATATAAAAATATGTCTAGGCCTAGAAAAAAGAGGATTTATGTCGAGTTGTGAGGTAAAAACCAAAGATCAAGGCGTTGAGACACTTCAAAGTTAAGGCTGTATAGAAATTTGATAACTCTGGGTTGTCTTTATCTCAGAAACTTTGATATTTCAATGATTTGCATTCGACTAGAGGTAGTCAGCATTTTAAATATCATGGGTTTCCCCAACACAAGATTCAGACATTTAAAAAACAATGCATCAATTTTCAATTTTCAAATTCTATTCTTTTTTTTTGTCCCTCAATTTAAAGTCTTTGTAACTAAAAGTACCCAATTCAGAGAAGCTTAATCAATTGAAAATTTGGATTTATGTAAATATTTTAATAAACTTTCAGCTGTTTGATTCTGTGCTGAAACTATCAATTTTGGTGAATTTGCTAAAAATATTACATTTTCCCTAAAAATTTACGTTTCCCGCAAAAATTCCGGTTTTGAGCAAAGAGCGCACGAAAAATTGCGCAAAAACTCGCAAAACTTGTTTATCTTTATGGGCAAAAGCTAGCACAAAACTTGCGCGAAAATGTCTATTTATTCTGGAACAATTAAGGATTAATTTCAAATAAAAATCTAAATAATTAAAAAAATAAAGGGTTTAACATATACCGTAACCTGTGGGCTTTTCTTTTACTCTGCGACCTATCTGCTCCCTTCGGTCCGACAGATCTACCAGCAAATGTATATTTTTAATTGTATTCAAATCTTTTTTCTAAATCTGAATTGAAGTACTTGAACTATTCAATAAATGGAATGATACCAAGATTAATTTTTAAATCTGAATCTAATAGTTTGTCAATTTTATTATGTTTTTTTTTGTATCTTAAAAAAGTAAAACGGTTGTATGCAAATATTGAAAAAAAATAACTGAACATTGAACACTTGCCTCAAACTCTAATTTTCTAATCCCTACATCTTTGCAACAAAATGGCTTAAAATATTAGATGGAAGGTCTAAAACAAAAAGTTGTAAAAACGGATAAGACAATTATTATATAAGGAAAGAAATCAGTCCGTTATTTAGTCAAAAATTAGCCAAAATCAGGAAATCTACGAAAATATTCAAAGACGGTCGCAAAAATTGAAAATTGTTTCAGAATATTCTCCAGAAACTTAGAATAATTTTTAAATTTAAAACTTCCCTGCGGCTCTAACATTTATCAAGGATTCTAAAGTTTATCTTTCAAACTAACTAAAATTATGAAAACTAGCAATAAAGTTTAATGGAGCAATTAAAACTCTGTAACATAAACAAGAGATTAACAATAAATGCAAAATACCTTAGACAGACATGATAACATGTAGGAAAATATTTAGTCCTTATTATTAACATCTATTTTTAAGGAAAGCGTAATGGAAATTTTATTACTATACAATGGAATTCCAAGATGTTTTTTAAGAAAAATTGGTCAAGAAACCCCATGGTTAATTTTTATTTACCGAAAAAAGTAGTTTTATACAATTTTACTTAGCACTGGTAGATGTTATTTTAATCAAGGTTCTAATGCAAGGAAAGTCGATTGCAGTTGTGTATACTCTGTGCGTACATATTAAAATGAGTTCTCTCTGAGCGGAATTTGTAAACAAGAATAATTGCATCAGTGTTCGTTTAGTATCCGAGGAGTATAAAAGCATTGAATTTTGAAAATTTTGAAAATTCACATAATAGTTTCCTATGACCAGAAAATTTTATTGATTTTTTATGTGAAAGATTGATCTCATGTCAGGCTGTGACATCCGTCTTGTGTTTACATTACCGCCCAGAGACAATACACTACATTACAAAAGATACGTACACCTCTGAAATAACTTTCCTTGCTAACCTTGATTTTAATAAAGTTTCCCAGTGAACAGATCAGTAACTTACATTCCATGTGTTCGGGGAGCCATGGGTTGGTAAAGGTTGACCAAAATGTGGTAAAATGTAAACAAATTTGAAATGCCTCACGTACTGTAACTAGTAAGCGAATAAAAAATGTACTATTCGAAAAAGTTTTAGTATGGCAATATGTAAATAGGATGTAACATGCTTAAAAAATTAGAAAAAATAATCTTTAAGTTTATAGTAAATCAAATATTTGTATTCCTTGATTATTTGAATTTTCTGATTTTTATCAGAAATATTTTACAATTTTAGCAAAAGATAATAAATCTTAAGTAAACGATGTGGGTGTTTTCCTTCATGTTAGAATAGATAAATATACCAATGAATAGATAGATAAATAGTTAGATGGATGGTCGATTGCAAATTGACGAATTGAGCATCAGCAATGGATTGATATAAAAAGTTTAAAAAATGAAAGCCAAGTTACAAATAGTCTGGCAATGATTAATGTTTCTTGAGGAAAAAAATGGAACGAGAGACAGAGATGAATAGGATCCTTATTTCAAGTTTAGAAAATATAAAATTATCCATGTTTCGTGCAAAAATTCGAATCTTAATTCTAGATGTTTTCAAAGTTTCAAAGCGCTGAAGAAATATGGCCGGGTCCATTCTCAATATTCATGAAAATAGCGCAAACTATGATTTTAAGCTAAAAAAAACTTATCTCCCAAATTAAAAATTTTTCTTATTGCTTGTTGCATGCATGCATTGGTATTGGTTATTTTTTAGTATCTTTCCTGTTCTGCGTATCAAAAGAAGAATAAATAGGAATTGAATCTTTGCCAAAAACCCCTTTCTCTTTGCAACCTTATGGCGTAAACCTTTGAAACTTAGATTATCTGATTTAACAGAATTTTAATTTACAATATCTAAAGTCTACGGCCATGAATTAAAATTAGATATTGGGATTATAAATTCAGAGTTTGTGGCAAAGACTCAAATACTCGCCTCAGACACTGATTGTCTAGGCCTGATATCATCCCGACTTGATGTTGTAGACTTTTTATTAACATTTCAAACTATGAATTCTACTAGGCCACAACGTTAAATTGTGTGAAATATCCAAGGTTTCCCAGAAAGAGATAAAGAGTTCCTGTTTTGATGTTACAGGGAGAGGGGGTGGGGTGAAGGACACCATCTTTAATACGGTATGCTTTGTATATAAATATAAATCTAGATGAATAGTTGTATGTTAAGTATAAGAACTGTAGCAAGATGGTTGTCGAATAGATCTATGGTTTATACTAGGAAGGAAGATATTTGTTTCTTCAGTTTTTATCCATGTCCAGTTTATTAATGATCTTAGCAAACACTATTCGGTATTCAGTACAGTAAACAAAACACAATTTACGCTTAAAGGGACAGTAAAGGATTTTTCCTTTACTGTCCCTTTAAAGGGACTTGAGGCGTAATTTTAAGTGACCCTTCATCCATCTAGAGAAGTACATGCCGATTCACAACCGTCCTTTACACCATAAACAGAGCAAACATAATATAGGATATCCGTGTTTATCTAATCGAAATTATTTTAATCTTAATTGTGGTTCGTTATTGAACGTTATACTTATGGATAGATGCAGCTAAGACACAGAAGGAAAATTTAGAATTTGACATTTCTCCAGATACTAGTTTCAGTAGAAGTAAATATTTGCATTTACTGATAGCGCTGATTGAAGGATTCATAACTCTTATTGGATAATGATAGAAAGATAGATGTTACCACCATACTATTTCTATTGGTTCAGAATAGACATGACTGAACCCTGATGTGATCAGGCGCTATTAGACTCGGCATACAAGTGTGGATATAAAAAACGACTATAACTTCCTCATTGTTACTGAGATAAAGGATCATAATTTAGTCATGCAATGATGCAATTCTACAAATCTTTTTGAAATTAAGTCCTAATTAGCAACATGTTTGTACTTTAAAAATTTGTGATTCAAAATTTAAGAAATTTTAAGAATCCCCAAATTTTTTTGCCAAAAATGGTGGTTTTTTAAGTGTGCAAAGCCAATCAAAAAAGTACTGAAAAACTTTTATATTTTTGATTTGATGTGGGTAAATTCCCTCATATATCTTTATGTGGACACATTAGTGTATTAATATAATTAGAACGAAACTAATTTAAATTTTTAAAATGTTTTTAAATGTTACAATTGCCTTATTTTAATGTGTCGATTCAAAAGACGTAAAAAGAGATGAAATGATAATTACAAAGTGCAGATTTCTTGCATGCTTTGCCCACGCCAAAATATGAATTCGAGCTACCTAACTTTTTTTTTTGTGCCGGGTCATTAGTCTTAAACAGTGAGTTCTCTTCTTCATATCATTCACAACATATTGGAAAAAGGATTTTTTCGATTTTTAAACTCTTATCCCTATTTTAAGACTTTCTTTGATTAATACATTTGATTTGTTACAGACCAATCTAATATTCCTATTTAAAGAAAAATCTAGAAACAATTCATTATTTTCAATTTTCATACTCACTTTTATGTGGATTTTAATCTTTTATAATTGGCACTTAAAAACAGACTGAAGCAAGAAAAGAAATAAGAAAAAAAAAATAATTTAAAGCCAATTTTTAAAAACATCTTCAAATAAAGAAGTGGCAATTTTCATTGATTATAATGATAAAATCAAAATTAAATCAAATGTCAACATACAGGGGGTAGGGACCAACAAAACAGTGGAAAAGGACGACGGCTGTTATTTCAAGTTAAGATTGTAAACATTCCAATAAGCGAAGAAATACACAATATTGATTAATTGTCGTCTTCTCAGTTCATAGTTCTGGTGTTCTCAGCTTATGTCATATTTTATAAAATATTAATTTCCAAAAATTTCTAAAATATACATATTTTCCTTAGTCTGATGATAACCAAGATATAGAAGATGAATATGAAGGTCAGGGGTCCTAAATAATTAATAGTTGATTCATTAATATTATCATAATATTAATATGGGAAATAGTTGATAATCAGATAATTGAATTTATGTAGATATTTATTAATAATTAATAATTAGTTCATCAATATTATCATAAATATTAATATGGGAATTAGTTGATAATCAGATAATTGAATTTATTTAGATATTTATTAATAATTAATAATTAATTCATCAATATTATCATAATATTAATATGGGAAATAGTTGATAATCAGATGATTGAATTTATGTAGATATTTATTAAGAAAATATGTTGATTAATGTTTCTATCTTTAATACAATATTAGATAATGGTTGAAGAGAAATGTTTTGAAAAAGAAAAATGTAAAAACTTTAACAAGCTTAAATTCTTAATGGATTGTTCAGAAATTTGGGGAAAGTGTGCGGTAAACATTTGAACAAAACCCTATTATCCAATTTTTGCAAAGGAATTGAGTCTTTGCCACAATTTTTTTTTTAATTTCTATATCTTTGCAACAAAATGTTGTAGACCTTAAATATCTTAAACTATGAGTTCTGTTAGATCAAATAATTTAAGTTTAAAATATCATAGGCTTTTAACAATTTGTTTCAAAGATAAAGGGATTAGAAAATTAGAGTTTGTGGCAAAGACTGCTATTCCTTTTATATAACTTTTTGCGAAAAAGTCTACTATGCATTTTGGTCGCTATTTGTAACGAAAAGAGGGATTCTTAAAACTTTTTTCATACTTAAAGGGACTGTAAGCGTAATTTCAAGTGACCCTAGACTAAAGGATGGCAATGTCCGATTCACAACGGTACCGTAATCTGATCAGAACTATGGAAGAAAACATAGTTTCTGGCTTGAAAAGTGTTTAATTCAGTTAATTTCTTAATTGTTTTTGAAGAACGAATTACGCAAGTCAAAATGAGATAATCAGTTCTCAAAATCATAAATGTCTAGATACCTAATTCATACTTGATTGGATAAAGCGTTTAAGGGCTGTTGTAAATATGACTTGACAGTATATAAATGGAGGGTCACTTGAAACTACGGTTACAGTCCCTTTAATGTTTTTAAAATACCTGCGAATCCGAAGATGAAAGAATAGAACGTAAATGCTGTCTGTTCGTTAATTAACCCTGAAGATGTTATATTCATAGTCCAGAAAATATTACAGGACTCTCCACCATCCGGCCTAAATATATTGGCATTTTCCTCTGTAAAATCAAAAGCTGTTCTTAGATGAAATAAGTGTTAACTAACTCAGATTGATTCTCATACCCATCTTTAAAAACAATGGTTGCTTTATCTGCCTACACTGTTTTCTCCTATATAATTTTACTTTGTCAATAATTACACAATATCAAAAGATTTTACTTGTTTTCTAACTTCTGTGGAGCTGATTTAATTAATATTTTCAAGGATTTTTTTCTATAAAATTCATTGTCCATATATCTGTTTACGTAAAGTCTAAACTATCCATATATCAGTTTACGTACAGTCTAGACTGTTCATATATCAGTTTACGTACAGTCTAAACTATCCATATATCAGTTTACGTACAGTCTAAACTGTTTAAATATCTGTTTACGTAGAGTCTAAACTGGTTATATATCTGTTTATGTACAGTCTAAACTGTTTAAATATCTGTTTACGTACAGTCTAAACTGTTTTCGCAAATATATTCTACTAGAGACAAAATCAACAAGAAGAAGTCAGCTAAGAGAATTATTTTTTTTAAATTTCTGACTGGGTTACATTTTAAAATTAAAACTTGCTCTAAGAAAAGTTTACATCATTTAAAAAAATTTACGAAAATGGTGGTCACAATTCATCATGAAAAGTATCGCACAAAACTTGAAAATAAAATACGTGACAAAAATACGTGTCGAATGAAGAATGTCCAATAAGATTTCTTGAATGTATGAGTTAAATGCTATAAATACAAATTTACAAATGTTTCTAAGAATACATCATCACCTCTACAGTATACACACTGTGTTAGTCCAATATAAACAGTCAAATATATAAACAGTTCATGTCTGTGCACAAAATAACAAAGTTAAATTTTGTTTGACCATTCAAAATATGAGCAGTGAATAAAGATATATTTGTCTTGCTTCTCTACGTGTGAATAGCCGAGTGTAATGTGTCTACGCCGTGAGTAATGTGTGTACGTGAGTATGGCGTGTATGGCCATATATATGACTTTATATAATAGCCATGTGTATGGCCGTATGTTCGTGTGTATGGTCGTATGCCTGGTCGTGTGTATGTTAGTAAGTAAGTACGATCGTATAGTCCTGTGTATAGTCGTTTGTACAGTCGCGTGTATGGTCGTGTAATAGTAGTGTGTGCGGTCTTGTGTATAGTCGTATAGATGGTCGTGTATATGGTCGTGTGTATGGTCATGTGTATGGTTGTGTGATGGTAGTGTGTGTGGTCGTTTATATGGGTGTGCATATAGACGTGTATTTGGTCGTGTGAATGTTCTTTAACTATGCTTGTGCGTATGGTGTACCTGGTGATTGTGTTCGCGTACAAGAAGACCGGCACCATCAGGAGGGCGGAGGTCAACCAGGCGGACAGAGAAACAATCCGAGCAATAAACGGGGTTCGGAACCGAGGAGAAGATATTGGGTGGCACACAGCTATGTACCGATCCGCTGAAATAATATATACAATTAGTAAAAATATATGTACAGATCCGATAAAACAGTATGTGCAAGTATTAAAGCTATGTACCAATCCACTGAAATATTATGTTCTATAAGTATTGCTATGTACCAATCCCCTGAAATAATATACACAATTAGTATAGCTATGTACTGATCCCTTAAAATGTTAAAGACAATTAGAATGGTTATGTACAGATTCCTGAAATATCAAATATAGTTAGTATAGCTATGTACCGATCCACTGAAATATTACGTAATCAGGTACCAATCTACGGCTTCATTATGTACAGCTAGGGAGTATATCCATATATCTATATATATATTGATTGTAATAAATATGTGGCTAATATGATGTTTTCTTAAAAGATTGAGTCATTTTAGTGTTAATCCAGTTTAATGTAATTCAATCTCAAGCGTTTTCCTTTCTCATATTTAAAAAGAAATACAACATTTTTTCAAATAAAAAATGGGGAATCTCTATAACGCGGAAATGAAAAAAAAACTTCTTATTTCTTTACAGTTCATCTGATGTATTTGTTAACTAGTTTGATCGATGTGCATTGATCAAATTGATTGATTGGTTCTCCAAAACTCAGTGCAGATAAATCAATTCCCACCAAGTTTGTTGAACCAGTTTATCAGAAAAACACTTTCCTAATTACAAATCAAAGAATCCAAATTTTGTGCAAATTGTTAGAAAGAGAAACTTTACATACTTTTTTACTTCCTCATCAAATGAAGAAGAATACAATAAAAAAGTTTATTCTAGAATCTAAAGTATTTAAAAATGTTCCATATATTTAGAAGATGTTAAGCGTTTTACGTTTCAATAGCAAAGAAACTGATTTTTTGCCACAAAGTCAAAGTTTCTAGTCCCTATTACTTTGAAAATTGGCATGGTGGTGTAAACCTTTGATATATCAAACTTAGATTACTTGATGTAGCAGAACTCAAAATTTAAAGGTCGTCTCTATCAGGTTGCAAAGATATTGGTAGTTTGTGCCAAAAACTTAAATGTTAAATGCTTCTCTAAACCAAAGTTTTAACTTGCAAACTATATTCTCAACTTTAAAACTTGAAAAAGACTGCAAATCAAAAAAATTAAGTTTTTCATTTCAGATAAAAACTTTGAACGCCTAAATTATATTATTATTGTTGTTATTATTGATATTATCATTATTATTATTATCATTATTACAATGACCTGAAAGTACAGTGAGGAAGATGGAGCTTGTTATTTGGTTTATTGAGGTTGTTGTGAAATAAACCTAAAATATCAAAGTAAGCAAATATTGTTTTGTATTTGATACATGACAATGATAATGTGATCACGTGATATGTGATAACGTGATCATAACAGATGACAATTTTTGTTGCTTGTTTTTTCACACGAAGGAGGCTTCACAACAAATTTTTTTCATATTTCGAAATTTTAGCTTTAATATTAATCACTTCATGACATCGTCAGATATAAGATCAAAGAAAAGTTTAATTTATTGTTAAAATTGTTTCGGTGAATAAATATTGTCAGACTAAAAATGTAATAAAAGTTTTAAATATCAAAACACATCATGATTCTTGGGGACAAAAATCTTTAATGTTTAAAAACAAACCAAAAATAATTCCCAAATCTAGTGATGTCGTGAATCAAAAATTAAATAAAATATACTGAAATGCATGTTTTTTTCGAAAATTAAAAATTGAATTGTGCACCAATAAAAATTGTTTAGTGACGGTGTTAAACAAAAGGTTAAAAAATACATATTTTTATAATACAATACAATTTCATACCTTACACATTATTGTTCCAAACGGCCATTCCCTCAAGGACATTGTTGCAATTAGAAACGGTATTCCGACTGTAACGATCAGATTCAAGTTTTGTTTTCGGGGAAATAAATTCAAAACTAACGAAGAATGTCTTTGATTGAAAAAAGGGAAAACATTAGATGTCAGAAAAATCAAAGATTTGAACAATAGTATCATCAAGACACACATTTTTTAGCAAGCATGGTAAACTTTTTGCAGACGATTTATGAAATGCAGGAATTTCTGAACTTGCTTTTTGGTGAATAGTAAACATAAGTAGTATAAAATACCCCCCCCCCCCCCCCCCCC